ATTGATAAATTTCAAATTCATAATTGTTTGTTCTTATCCGGTTCGAAGGACCAGATGTAAAATGTGACTTACACTGCTATGAAACATGTTCAGGTTTCAATAGTTAATAAAGCCGAACTCGGCTAAAACGTTACATTTCAAATTTATTGTATATTTGATTTGTTTCAATATATTTGACTGAATATCTTTGAAGTCGAGTAAGTTACGTACTTTATGTAACCGCAGGTCAAACTACAGAAACTGTATCCTTTTTATTATCAATATTTTCAAAAAGCTACACTTTCCATTATTTCAGGGGGATGGATTAAATCGCTAATTTTAAATGGAATGTTTTCTGTGTTACCAGTTTCAAATTTGGTATAAAACATATTGAAATTGCTATAGGACAAGGTTCAATTTTTGTTTTATAAAAGCTGAACTAGTACGTGTTTTTTTTTATAACAGTCGGTTTTCTAAGAAATGTGTGATAAAACTAGCTATTTGGGCTTTTAAGCCATCAAGAAAAATAATTTCTACCCGATGTTTCGCAAGCATCAGTAACTTGCATCCTCAAAGATGCTTTGCCCAAAAGCTAGAAGCACAGTCCAGTGTAAGTTTTCGAGCAAAACGTCTCTAAAGTTGCAATATTTCAAGCTTGAAAAGTCATGAAGAAATTCTCTTCCACCACGACTTAAAATCGAAAAACTTACGAAATTGAAACAACGATCGCACAAGCTTAACACATTTCATATTTTTTATGAAAAAAGTTAGTTTGAGCCCCTGGTTAATGGGAAGAGCGAACCAAAGCTTCAGATAGATTACTATAAAAATAAAAATTAGACGGTACCTAACAAACATTGAAAATCTATTCCTTCAACTTCGTTAATTAATAGTCGGATAATGCAATAAATTAATAATAATTAACAGAGATTTTTCTTAATAACCGGCAAGATTTCAACATGTTAAACAACAAAATGTAAATTTTTGAAAAAAAGTGTTTCTTGAGTTTTATCAGTAAATGCAAATGTGTATACATTTGTAAAAATTTTAAAACTAATCTTTCTAGTACGAGCGCGGCACCAAAATAGTACATATTCTGTTTATGAACTTTTATGCATAGTCCATAATAATTACAAATTTACATTTTTTCTCATTTTCTGTCAAGCCTTCAGCAACGGAAAATTACTACTCATATTATAAAGAAAAAATGATATCTTTTCTTCAAGCACGGTGTATAAAATCCAAAGGATAGGTACTCACATTTGCCAAATTAGAATAAATCCTCAGTACACGACACTGACAAAGGTCGCAGAAACAATCCACAGGAATGTACAACTGTAGTTTTTTAATAGTAAATATATCAAAAACCACTGAAATCTTAAAGAGTATTACATCATCCGAACAAAGCTTTTTGGACGTCAGGAAAAACTCGAATATATAATAGTAATGTAGGTAATAAACGGCGTAACCCGAAAGCGCAACTGTTTTTGACCAGTAATTTTCAACTCTGCTCATTAAACCAGAAGAAATACAGCCTATTATAAAGCTCAAAAATATTAGTTTAAGCAGCGCGTTCAGTTATTTTGAAACCTCAAAGTGAAGAGAAAATTAGTAGCTTTAAACTCCCCTCGGGCTTCATTTACTTGTGTTCATATTTCCGAAAGGGACTAGGCAAGACTATAATAAATTTCACACATAAATTCAGCGCGTATTGCTCGAAAGCATTTTCTCGTAATTCAACGCAGCTAAAATAAACGAACAATTAAATGAACTTTTCAACACGATCAGTATGGGCTGAAAGGCGCCATTCAACTTTGGAGAGAAAGTGCCAAAAATTAATCAAGTTCGGCCAATAAAATTAATCGTCGTAATTATTCACGAGTGCCTAGAGTAACAGTTTTACTGCATTCAGTTTTCAGCGCGATCCATTAGCGAATTTTGCCAATTTACTTTTATGACTTTGACTACTTTTATTCGTCGGCTTGTACTCTGTTTCAAATAAGGCTAAAAGATCGCAGACGTGAATTGTTTAAAAATGCTTCGATTTCCCCAATCGAATCAATGGAACCGAAATACGAATCGAGGTTGTATAAATTTCGATACGGTTAAAAGCAAGGGTAAAAAATGTTCTTTTTGCTTATGGTGTGGTATTCATATTTCATATTGATCAATTTTGCTGTAAGTAAATACTTTAAAAGCAGTGGATTAAGTTATGATGCATAGACAACCGGAAACAAAATATATTAAGGCATTTTTGTAAAATAAGGCTCACAGAAACCATCGTATTGTGTAGGATCACCTGGAAGTAGCCATAAGCAAGCGCAAAGAAAAAAATCCTTTTAACTGGAGTTGAGTCGAGTTTAAAGCCATATTTCAAGTCTCAAAAAGTAATGGCTTACAAGATATTTGCATTTTTATTACATTATTTCAGTTATGACAAAATATACAACTTTCTTTAAAGTTGCTGCCTTGCAATTATCAAAAGCATATCTCCAAGTGATTTTTCAAAATAGCAGAGCTTTTCAATTATATGAGATTAAAACATTTATTTTGAAAACGGATTATTGAAAAATAAATGTATTAATTTCATTATTGCAGTAAATGATGAACAATCTCAAATAGCAAAATATTATGTAATGTTTTGAGTTAAAAGACTTATATAATATCATAAAACTAAGAACTAAAACCAAAAAAATTTGAAACGTTTCTTCAAATCCGAAATCATATTTGGATAAAATTTTCTTACCATTTAATTGAAACTGCTTTCTGCAGAACTTGCCCAACATAAAAGCAAAAAATATTGAAAAAAGACAATTTGGCATTATAAAAACATACTTTCAAATTTAAATTGTTGAGCAATTGATTTCCATAATTTCGAAAAATTTTAATTACAAACTTAAGCATCTTATGACCGCTAAATTATCATGGAAAACATCGATGGGTTTTCAACTTTATCAACCAATTATTTTCCAGCCAATAACAACGCAGCAATCGTTAAATACAAATTTAATTTTTGGTCTCTTTTGATGAGACCAAAAAATAGTTCAATAATGCAGGATCCCCTTTCGGCTATATACAGGGGAACGCAAGATTTTTTATTCCCAAAACGAATCGAGCCTCAAAAACTTTTATTAGAAGTTGCTTACTTCGAAGAAAATAGACCAATTGATCAGAAGTCAGTGGTGCACACTTTTTTTGGTTATGTTGTCCCATGGAACGCCACTGGTATTGATAATTTTAATATATTTAGGGAAAAATTGCCTCTTACTGTGTCTAAATATCGCTGCTAAATTTCAACATTATTGACAAAATTATAGTTTTTATTTTCAACACCTTGTAAATTAATTAAACCGGAATCCTTTACGAAATCACTCAAATAATCATATACTGATGTTTGGCTACAAACTGAAATAACCCTGTATACTTATTATGTAGATTGAACATCCCAGACTTTGATTTTTAGTTATTTTTCTTGTTATAAATAAAGTTTTGATTTTAAGTGAATATTGTGTATCATCACAAAAATTAACTCTAAAACATAAACAAACCTTCATGTATCGAATGTTTGTGAATCAGCTAATTGATAAATTATAAATGTGGATTTACACTTTTTTTAACACATTTCAAACCACAATCCTTTATGATGTGGTTGCAAGCTTTAAAATTTCCCTCGTTGAAGTAGATGGGTTTTGCCTTACACAAGCGAAAACATTTATTTCAGAAACTTTATGGCTTTAATTAAGTACTTGTTCTTTAGAATTTACGAAGCTGTGCTTACCAAAGTTTATATAAACCCTTTTAAATAGAACGAAAATTGTAAAATAATTAAATATTTTTTCTAAAAATTATTAAACTATCATTAGATTTAACTCTCTCTATAAAAGATTTAATGTTTTCAGAATGGGCTACAAAAACATTAACATTAAAGCCATTTGAAAGTTGAGCCAATAGATTAGATGGATATAAAATTAATCAAGATGATTGAGACGGATCGAAAGCCCAGAAATAGGAAAGATCAGATACAAATTGGAAAAGTTTAATCAAAATTAATATCCAAGTAAAGAAAAATATATATGTTTAAAATATATGTTTATAATATGTTTAAAACATATATTAAACTAATCACATAATATACAGGGTATCCAAGATAAGGATGCATTGCCGTAAAACATTTTCGTCAACGAAACGTTGGAATAAATTTTCATTGACATCATCTTGTAGAGCTTTAGTTTTTTGTGTTTTTTATATAATTCGAAATAACGTCAAAAATGAGAAAAAACGTTTGTTTAAATATCTCAAAGATGAAAAAAAATTCTGGTTTTCTGAAAACGTCATGTATATGGCCCCCTGATGGCGCAACTTTCTCCCAATTTAACCGAGTTCGTATCTCTTACGGTTTAGGAGATCCCCATACAATGTGTCCTTATCTTGGACACCCTGTATTCAATCTTTACATCGTATTTATATGAATAAACAAATTGTGGAAAGTACTACCATAATCTGACCAACTTTCGTAATATTGCTTATATCTACTACTATTTTTTTCGGGAACTTTTCTTCAATTATTCAGTGTTGAACACTCCTGGGAGAAAACTCGTTTTGGGCGCAAAAGGTTAAAATAGTGTTTGAAAGGACAGTAAATAACCTTCCAACAAGCTTAAACGCTTTCCATGAGTTTACCATCCACTATTCAAATATTGAAACAAGTAAACAATGTCCCTAGCTTGTTAAAAAACGTTCTCATTAAACTTTGAATTGCCTGCCTTTAGTACAAAAAGTAATTATATACGAGAATACGAAAAGTAATAATATGATAAATGACAGAAGATCTAAAGCAAATCTACAATCAAACAAGCAAATGTTCATTTGTTTCTTGCTCAAATATGTGGCTACTTAAAATGTATACTCTGATTAAAATCAATCAAAAAATAGTAAAAGTAAATTGGCAACCACCCAATACGCCATATGTAAATACTGACATAAAAAATAATTTAAAAATAAAAAATTTTAAAATCACTTACATCTTAGTGGGCCTCTCAGGAAATCCCGCCACTCTGTCTCAACTCACAAATGGTAAGATTTCGAATCAAAAGAGTCTGCTCGATGGTGCCCCTTAAATCACATTGTATTCAGAGCACTAAACCTAAGGAAGTTCTTCCATATAGACCTCAGCATGCTGCCCTAAGCGATCTTTTATTAAAGAAAAACATGTTCAAACACAGTGAAATTCGCGAGATCGAAAATGTGAGCAGCTGGCGCGAACCGTAAGTTCCCGACGCGTTTTAACCCCTGAGTGTGATTCGGTTTCTGGATTCCGGGTTTGCAGGGCTGCACTGTGGATGTTGTGACGTAGGGCCGGGAGACAAGAGGGAGAAATGGTGGCTCATTGAGTTTCCTCTATTGTTTGGAGATTATAATGATCTCGAATTTCGTTTTTAAGTGTTAAAAGTGGCTTGTCACATTAAGAAAATATTTTTAAAAAAATTGAAAGTAGAAAAATATATCAAAAAACTACATTTTATGAATAATGCTTTCTAATTAGTTGTACCCAAAGTGTATTACCCGACAGGTTTGCAGGTGCTTGTAATAAAAAAGATACAATTTTTGGAATTATTTTTCATATGAACCTACAAAAGGCTCAACAAAGAAATCCAGGTTTTGCCCAACAAACAATATTACTTTTTCCATCAAAATATTTCTTAGTTAAGTTAACGACAGCTAATTAAAGTTTTTATTTCCTCGCAGACTCTTATACAGTTTGATCATTCTTCTCTCTACATTTTTTCAGTGCGTTTATAATATTAGGGGTAATTTTTGTTACAGGGGTTATTGCCAATATTTCGCCCAAGGAACAGCACCACGCTAATAAACCGTAACAGCGACATTTTGCTTGAATAAGGTTTGGCAGCAATTTTGCTTAAAAACTCGATAATTGCGATGGATAGAACGTTTAAATCTTGAAGTTGTTTGCCTTTTACAAGACAACCGTAAAAGCGGGTTTTTAATAAACTCACTTTGATACTGAAGAAACGTTTTTCAGTTGAACATAAAAGCAAAATTGTTTTGATCATTGCTAATCAAAGTCTATTCAAAAGTGGAATGATTTATCATGAAATTGGGTAGGAACGAAAATAACCTGAAAAATTAATAGATTAGATCGAACAAACTTATGGATAAATGTCTTTAAATAACAAATAACCAATTTTTGGTATACAGTATGAACTGGTTTTCTTCCTAAGTTTTTGAAAATTTTGGAGACTCAAATCAGGGTGGATTAAGCATTTAGTTGAATGATGGTTCACATACAGAATGTGATTTAAGTTATACTTTGTAATTATAATTGTAGATTCGGTTTACACAGAACTTATGTCAGATAGATTAACTGATCTGTATAATGTATGCAGCCTTAATTTTTTAAGAGTTTTAAGTGAAAAAAAATCAGTGATGTTCAGGGACTCTAGAATTGTTTGATAAATCTATGAGTTGAAAAGATCTGTATTTACTCTTTATAAGTGCAATTCCATGATCCCAAATATCACAATGCTAATAATATTGTTCAGAAAACTTTTCTCGCTTGAACCGAAACAATTATGATAAAAATACTATCTAAAATTTACTACTACTACCTTAGTTTATCTGAGTAAAAAAATATAATCATTGACCAAGTTAACGACAGCTAATTAAAGTTTTTATTTCCTCGCAGACTCTTATACAGTTTGCTCATTCTTCTCTCGACAGTTTTTCATTGCGTTTATAATATTTGGGGTAATTTTTGTTACAGCGGTTATTGCCAATATTTCGCCCAAAGAACAGCACCACGCTAATAAACCGTAACAGCGACATTTTGCTTGAATAAGGTTTGGCAGCAATTTTGCTTAAAAACTCGATAATTGCGATGGATTGAACGCTTAAATCTTGAAGTTGTTTGCCTTTTACAGGACAACCGTAAAAGCGGGTTTTTAATAAACTCACTTTGATACTGAAGAAACATTTTTCAGTTAAATATAAAAGCAAAATTGTTTTGATCATTGCTAATCAAAGTCTATTCAAAACTGGAATTATTTATCATGAAATTGGGTAGGAACGAAAATAACCTGAAATATTAATAGATTAAATCGAACAAACTTATGGATAAATGTCTTTAAATAACAAATAACCAATTTTTGAAGAAAAAAGACTGGCTTGCTTTTCTAATCAATTGTTCCTCGAGCCATTAAGTTTTTGCATTTTTTGAAAATATGATAAAATAAAAAAATGGTCTCAAAAATTAATTCTTAATTTCTAAATTTGTAAAATAATTTGTTTTGCAAAATTGTCTTCTCAATTGTATTTTAACTCTTAAGTACTTTCAGGGCTTTGTAAGAAAAAATACTTTATTGGCTGTAAGTGCTGATATGTATAATATATTATTATAAAATTTCAATTTAGTTTGTTAAAATCTTATTTTGCAAGATTACTTTATAAGGTGAAATGATGTCGTATAACTGAGAAAATGTATAGTTAAAATACTTAAAATAAATTTTTCAGTTCTTATGTGTACATAAATTTCTACTTAAAAACACATTTCAGCATTTGGCTTCAACATTTTTACATTTCATTGATTGATTTGAGGATGAAACTATGTAAAAAGGTAATTAATGTTAGTAAGTAA